TTATTGTTATTTATGATATATTTATTGTTTTATTTATGATATATATATATAGAAAACCAGGTTGTGCAAGCAAAAGTTTCCATTATGAGTGTATGCAATCAAACTGTGTGCTATTCTGGCACTTCGTTAAGAGATCAATTAAGTTTTAACCATTTTTACATTTTTCTGAAGCAATCTTTTGAAGAGGTTTGTATTATTTATTCCTTTTCTTTTATTTATTAAAAGGTTTGAATTATCTGTTCCATTTTTTATGTTTATAAAGTTATTATTCAAATGCTGGTAGTGTTTTTGTTATTCGAATTAAGTAAGTTGTTATTTGAATTAAATAAGCTGTTATTTTGTCGCCAATTAATTAATCGAAAATTTTGTCGCCATTTTGTTATTTGAATGTCACTAGTATTAAAGTTATTTGTTTGTTTGTTTTTTGTTTTTGTTTTTATGAACTAAAAAAATTTTTTTAACTCATTTAGTTTTTAACTCATTATGTTTGTTTACTTAAGTTATTTACTATTTTTGAAACCTTTTGGTTGATGGTATGCAGTTTATAATACAAGTAGGGCCCTGAATCAGAATATAAGGAAATTCAAGTCTACTTTAAAAAAAATTTTTTCCAAGGAATATTTTTTTAGCATTTGTTTGAAAGCAGCATTACAATTACTTTCTGTTAAAATTACTTTACTCTGGCTGAGATAAATAAAAACATTTTAATAGCATCTTAGAATTGGGTATCTGAAAAAAAACAACACTCATAAAATAAATAGTGATTCAAAAAATTCAAATCTTATTTTTTTGAATCAAATCTCAAATCATAGCGACACTTGATTCGCAAATCGATTCAATTTGCTGGGCCCTAAACACAAGTTGTTTTATGCAATAAATATATATCTTTTTTTTTTGTTTAAAAACTTTAATATGGTCTGAAATGATGTTCCTGAAGTATAATTTTCTGTTAAAGTAACAGCATGACAACTACTAAATAACTGCTTATTCCTACTAACATTTCTACCCAGTCTAACATTTCTACTTAGTCTAACATTTCTACCCAGTCTTTAGTATCTTAGACTAATTTTTCCTGGAATTACTTAAGATTTTCAGCTGAAAAGTCTGTAGACCACAGTTTTATTTATGCATTGAATATTTTTATTTATGAGTATTTTTATTCAATTCAAATAAATCTTTATCTTTAAACACACAAAAATCTTATTTAGAAGGTATTTTGTTTTGTTCATATTAAAATTGAAAGATCTACTTTTGATGTCAACATCAAAGCAATGTGTATAGCAGTTGTCAATAATTTATTGTCAATAAAAGAAAATGTTTTATACAAATAAATTTCTATAAATTGGAAAATAACTTTTCATTTATTTTCTGATTTATAGAAATTAGAAATTAGATCAAGTTTTGATTATAATTGATTTTGATTTGAGGTACCTCAATATAAGGACTTTGGCCAAAATATGTTGTCATATTTTCGTAACAGTTTTATTTTTGACTTATTTTTTGATCATAAAATATAAAAAATAAGATTGACATTTAAATTGCCACAAGTGTGTTACGCAGACTTTTGACAATTTAAATGTCAATTTTATTTTCTATATTTTATGATCACTGTGAGGCCATTAACATTTTATTTAATGTTTTGTAAATATTACTGTTGAATTTTTGTTCTGTAAAGTAATATTGTTGAAGTGAGAAAAGAATTTTGTGGAGTTAAGTTTTTTTGTTAAGTTATTGTATTTTTTATTATTGTATTATTTAAGTATTTTGTTAAGTTATTGTATTTTTCAAAAATTATAGGTTTGCAAATTAAAAAAAAAGGATGAAATCTGAGTCTGTTTTTTTTTTTCAGATTAATATTTTTTAAAAACTTTTTTCTCCACACATAATGTATGATCATTTATAATGTTTACCAGAATATTAAACCTGGGAAAAATATTATGATTGCCAATATGTGAAACCTGGGAAAATAAACTTTTTAAATCTACTTTCTCCTTCATCTCTGGTGTGCATGAGAAACTTTATTAAATATTTTCCTTATGTGTTAGGTTTTTTATTTTTATTTTGAACTTAAAACAAAAAAATTAACAACTTGAGGTATAAAGTGTTTTAAAATAAAAAAAAATTAATATAATTTTAGTAAATAAGCTTATTTAATAAAATTAAAAACTTTTCTTTTAGCAAATGTTGTCATCCTTTCGTGCTGAGCTACAGGAAGACTATGTTGTTCAAGTTAAATGGATCAATCACAAGTTGTTGTTGTTGTTTTTTTATCTATGTTGTAATTTACTTATAAATTATTATTATTTATTTATTTATTTTGTTTTTTCAATTTTTACCTTTATGTTCGTATGGTAATTTTTGCCTTTATATTTTGACTATAACAATGAAAATTTTGTTTAGCTTTGAAGAATGGTTAAACATAGATTATCTTGTTTATTTCACAAACTCTCATAAATCAGTGTCCCAGCAGCAGCAACTTGTTCAAATGGTGGCTGTTAAATATTTTTACAATAGAGTGCACACCAAAAACGTTTTTTCTTTTCAAATTATTGCAAAGTTAACAAGACTCAAAGGTACTTTTAATATAATTTTAATATTTTTAAGATAATTTTAATATTTTTTATAGTTTTCCGAAAATAGTTGTGGTGCTATATTTATTTGATTTAATTCTAGATTTTGATTATTGCTATAATAGTACTACATTGTGTGATACTCATGCTGAATGTTTAAATGGACTTGGAACACACTTTTGTCGTTGCAGATCTGGTTATGCTGGAGATGGCATTAAATGTGATCCAATACTGAGCTGTGACTTTGATGGACAAAAAAAGTGTAAGTTTTTAGCCTGATTGTCTTTTTGTTGTTTGTTTAAGATTTATACTAGGATGAATCATGTCTTGTAATTATCATTAATTTTTAAGCTTTATAACTGCACTTTATTACTTTAATGAAGCTGTGAATTACTAAAAAGAAATAAAAGATTCGTTTTTTTTTTTTAATAGTTGTCATTGTGAATTGTAAATTTTTATTCTGAACAGCATGATTTTGAACTCTTATATCTGCCTAATGACTATGTCTCTCTTATATCTATACAAACTCTTATATTTGCCTTATATTTAAGATGACTTTTACTTGATTGTGACTCTGAAAATTCTTTTATCAATGGTCTGACATTAAAGACGGGCCAGCATTTCACAGAGCAGTAATCTTAAAACTTTAATTTTCAAATTAAAATTGTTTGATTCTAATAACCCCAGCTGGTACTTTAGTAACAATATGATTTGTAAAATTGGTCAAACTACTCTAGTCTCAATATCATATAGAGTTTGTTAATGAAAGACTGATTTATGATTTATGCTTGAGATTGAAAAATCTTTTATTTGAATTTTTATTTGGAGCATTTTTTAAGGTTTTTAGGGGTCATCCATAAAGTACGTACGCCTAAAATTTCAAAAAATTGACCCCCCTCCCCCCAGTTGCCATGTGTAATTTTTAGTCCTCTTCCCCCCTTTGAAAAGTACATACGCTTTTGAAGTACCCCCTCCCCCATCTTCTCTTTTCTCTTTATCAGTTAAAAAGTTAAAATTTATAAAAAAAAACATAATTTATAATAATTTAAATATTAGGGATTGTCAATAAAGTACGCTGGGCATGAGTAAAAATAAGAAGTCATCAAAAAGTGGTGATATTCTTTATATTTCAAAATGTTCCATTTCATTAAATCAATTGTTCAATACTTTTCAAAAACAATATGAAGTATAAAAAGAATTTCGGAATTTCTTCATATTTCAATTTTTAATTAATTAGCGCGACAACAGTCTTACTAAGGGTAACAAGTTTAAAAGCTAAAGTTTTAAAGTATTGTTAAACTTTAAATATTAATTTTTGAAATTGTTATGTAAATATTATTTTTTATAATTTTTTAAACTTTATTTTGTAAAAAATATTTTATAATAAAAATAAGATACTATAAATTATTTAAAAACTAAACAAACAACCCCTGTTTGCATTTATTGTAGCTTGTAAATTTAAGTTGTGCTTTAAATAGTCAGTTAAAAATTAGTTTGAAGGCGGAGTTAATAATAGTGAAAAGTACAAAATTATTTACCAACAAGTAGCAAAAGCTTTGCCACAAAAAAGTAAACAGGAGCAACAGAAAGAAGCTAATACATTGTGGTATAAAGTTAAGCATAAAGAATTGGCGTATGATTCAGTTTTAAAAGAACTCACAGGAAAAACAATAGAAAGTAAAAGTCAGTTGATGTCTTTTTGGTCTAATATTAAAACATCAAATAATCAATCTATTGCAGTGAAGCTTCCTCTCACAAACAAAATATCAGATGAGGGACCAGAAGCTTTGTTAACATCCGATGAAGCAGACAAAATAGATTTTGAAATCAATAAAACACTAGCTACTTCTTCTAAATTTGATATTCAAAAAAGACAACGCAGAGCAAGTTTGAAACGAACACTTATTGATATTGTCGATGACACGCCCTACTTAAAATCAAAACTTTCTAAATTCAATAGAGAAAAAAATGGTAGACCAGCTGTAATTGAAGATCAGTCAGATCTTCTTAATGCCATCGTTAACATCGCATCAATAGGAGCCGCTGCTAGCGATCGAAGAAGATCGCAGGAGTTACATTCATGTAAGACACTTGATGACTTAAATAAAAGCCTACTAAAACTGGGTTATTGTTTATCACAATCTGCAACTTATTTAAGACTGATGCCTAAGCAATCAAACACACTTGAGGGAATACGTCACATTAAGACAGTTCCTGTGAAATTGATCAGGACTGCTAATACAGCTCATGATGGCATATCGATGCTGGATTATCGATTTAAGGCATATCGATGCTGGATTTACATTTGCGTGCATGCAATACATGGATGAAGTTTGTTCAAAATTTGGTCCAGATTCATGCCTTTATTTAAGTCTAGACGACAAAGCTAAAGTACCATTAGGGTTAGCAGCTGCAACAAAACAATCACCAATTTTGATGCATCTTGATTATCAAGTACGTTTTCCAGATCATGATTTTTTAGTCACTTCCAGACATAAGCTTATACCGTCTGTTTATGCAGCTTGTATTATTGATCCAAACAAATTTGCTGACGCAGTGTCATATTCTGCCCCAACATATATTGCTATTAGATCTATGAAGCATGATAGCAGCACTGCTTTTACTCGTCTTGTTTCAATTGAAAATTTTAAGCTTCATATTTGTACTCCAGAAGGTCAGGTAAAACCTATGTTTGTTGTTGCATGTAATGGAGGCCCTGATAAAAATCCAAGGTTTCCTAAACCATTGCAAGTTGCAATTGCAAGATTTATAAAATGGGATTTGGATGTCTATCTAACAGGAACTCATGCACCTCATTATTCAGCAACTAACAGGGTTGAAAGGCATATGGCTCTGCTGAGTCGAGAGTTAGCAGGATTGGTTTTGCCACATGACCATTTTGGAACACATCTAAATGCATCTGGAAAAACAATTGACGTTGATTTAGAAAAAAAAATTTTGCTAAAGCTGCAGAAACTCTAGCTGAGGTATGGTCGGATATAGTAATTGATAACTATTCTGTTTATGCTGAATATGTTGAACCTTCCCAACTGTTACCAATACCAGAGCAAGATTCAAAATGGATTGAAAATCACGTAAGACAAAGTCAATATTTTTTAATGATCGTTAAGTGTGATGTTCCGAGTTGCTGTAAATCTTGGCGAAGTTGCTGGAAAAAAATTTTTCCTCAACGTTTTTTACCAGGTCCAGTTGTAATGTCTCATGCTGCTGAAGGAATTTTTATTCCTGAGCCAAAGGTAGGACGAAATATTCCTAAACCTTACTTTTCTTCTCTAGCGCAGCGCTTGGGATATATAGGTTCAAAAATTTCGATGGAAGCTTCCTTTGATTTGTACTGCCCATCAATTTCACAACAAAAAATTGATAAAAGAATTTGCAAATCCTGCAAAATTTATCACGCTTCTAAAGCAAGTGTTAAACGTCACAAATGCGTGTTTAGAAACATAATCAACACGACCTCTGAGGAAACATAATCAACGCGACCTCTGAGGAAAATAAAAATGACGATGAAAACAATGATACTCATTTAACAGTAAATGAAAGTAATTCTGATCAAATTCATGTCATCGAAAACATATTTGATTGGGTGAAATCACCCTTTGATTTAGATCACCAACAATTTAAATTAATTGATTAATGAAGACTATATTAATAATTTTGTTTATAAAATATTAAAACGATGTTTTGAAACCTATAAAGATAACAGTTTTTGTTTTAAATTGTGATTACTTAAAAAAATTTTATCACCCTGCCCTTAACCACAACCTAATCTTTAAAGGTACCAAACAAACATTCTCGCCAGTTTGTTGATTTTAAAGGTTTCCTGTTTGCCAGCAAAAGCGCTTAAAGATCAACTACACAAATCTTTCAACAAGACTTTTTTGTTTTATTTTTTGTTAATGATCTTTTAAACGATTGAAAAGTAATACACTTCACTGTCACCTTGATGTTCAGAGTTAAAAATTTTCAAACACTAAATTGATTGCTTGCATTTTTTTAGCTGAAATACTTTTCAAAAATTTATAATTTCCAGTTTTCTCAAGCTTCTTAGTTTATTATATTTATCAAAAAAATTACCCTATATAAGATGATGCAATTTTGTTACGTGACATTTTTTATAATCAAGAAATAATAACTATGTTCTCATACACAAAGAATTTTTGTATTTATATAAGATTGAGCACAAAAGTGTTTTCCTCGCGGTAGTTATTCTCCTACTTTAATTGCGATACAACAACATAGGTGAAGGGTATGTAAAAAACTGTGACATTAAAATTTTAAAAGAAAGTTTCCAGGCTGGAAATAAAAACAATTGTTTTGACCATCGCAAGCAAATCATTAAAACTTTCTTTATTCCTAAATAACTAATAAACGTAACCAAGTATGTGAGTTGTTACATTTATAAAACACATCAAACGATAACTATGAGGTGCCAAATAAACGTGCCTGCCCGTTTATTTGGGTTAAATGTTGTGGATTATTATACTAAAAACCCACAACATTTTTACCAAGCCCATTAAGGTGGTACACCACTAAAAAAACAGTGATTTTGGAGTAAATTTTCAAAATTAAGTTTTTGGACTCGTTTTTTTCCAAATTTTATCCTTTTTCATTTGATATAACCATCTTATATTGTTTAAATACATAAAACACTTGAAAAATGGATTTTTCTAAAGTTATTGAAAATTTTGACCATAGCAACGCCTTAGCAACAGAATAAAAAACCCTTAAAATCTATGCTCAAGCTTGGCTATGCTAGGCTTCTTTTTTATGGAATATGGTTAGGCTATGCTAGGCTTCTTTTTTATATTCGTAAAGTTTTGAACTATACTTTAAAGGTACATTTGTTTTGTGACAATTTAAATAGTTGTTGTTGTAACTTTTACATTGTAATATCAATTTACTTTGATATTTACTTTGTCTGAGATATATTTGTTAATATGATTTAATAACTTTAGCTTTATATTTAGTGTATATAAAAATGAGTTCAGTAGGAAAAGGAAACCTACATCAAAAATATAAAGTTTGCAACAAAAAAAAACCTTTCTAGAAAAAAGCATAGAAAATGGAACTGTGTTATACCAAATAGAGTATCTTGTAAGACCTCAAATTTTATTCAACCCTCTTGTTCTAGCGTGGTGCAGGTATTGGAGTAAAACAAAGCAGTATATACCATCAAATTCAATTCCAGTCTGGATGAAAAACCTGCTAATACCAATTTTTAAAAGCTTACAAGGCAATCAACTGCTATCTAAATGCCTTCATGGTAAGACACAAAATCCTAATGAGTCCTTGAATGTCCTCATATGGTCTAGAGTTCCAAAAAACACTTTTGCCAGTAGAGAAATAGCTGAAATGGGAACTTACTCTGCTGTTATTTATTTTAATGATAGTAGTGAAAGTATTTTGGATGTTTTAAAAGAGTTCAATTTGACTGGGTATATAACAGTAATGACATTTATTCAGTTTGACAATTCTCGTGTGAACCAAATAAAGCGAAAATCGACACAATACCATGTGTATAAAGCAAAGAAAAAAGTTAAGATCAATAACCAAAGGGTTCAGTGATAAACAAAATTTAAATGAAACTAATCAGTCATATGTTTCTGGTGGACATTAACCAAGATTTTTCTGAAAAAAACTTTAAATGTGTTTTTTACAGTTTTTCATTTTTGTAATACTAGCGTAACTTTGAAACATAATATCTTTGTATTGGGTAATGGTTTTTGCCTGAAATTTTTAGGGTATACTCAATATACTCAAGAAATTCGGTTAACAGATGGGATTTAAAAAATTCTTCTTAAATATTTTTAAATAAAAAAATTAGTTCACATGTTAAGTCAAATTACTTAGAATTTCAAGCATATTTTTAATAATTCGTAATAAAACTTAAAATATGTCTTTAAGTTAAAAATCCATCTGTCAACCGGAATAAAACATTATAATGCAACAATATACTAAGTTTGAACTAGAGAAAATGTATATAACGGAAGATATCACGTCACAAAGTTATTGAATTTTATGCATTTTTTAAGCAGTTTTTCCGCCATTATGGATGTAAAAAAAAACTTTTAGAAAAAAATTTCATTTCAAATATTTTTTTTTATAAATTTATAATCAGAAAAATATTAGTTTTTGGTTTTATTCCTATTTTAAATTGAAAAAGTGCTTTTTAGTGGTGTACCACCTTAAAACTTATTACGTTTTTATTGTTAAATTTAAACTTCTTTTACTAATTTTAAGGTTCCTTTAGTAAAAAGAACTTTAAAGTTTCCAAAAAAAAATTGTAATTAGATCTTCTTTAAGGGCAAGTATACTTCCCTCCCTCCCCAACTGACATTTCAAAGTCACAGTCATGGTTTTATTATTTAAAAAAATTATTTATTTATTATTATATTCAAAAATATCTAGGTATTTATTAAAAAACATCTAGTTATAGTTAAGTATTTGTTAGTGGTGATAAGTTAGAAATACAAGCATTAACTAATAAAAATTACTTTTTTTAATTACTGCGTACGTACTTTTATATTCAACCCCCCCCCCCCCCAATACGCATTATTTAAAATTGAATAGGTTTTAATTATTTTTAAAAGTTTTTTTTATTTCCTTTTTTTTTAAACACTGTATAACATTCTCAAAATGAGGAGTGACAAAACTTTATATCGCCATTTCTTTTAGGCGTCAAAATTTGAAATCAGACTATAAATTATGGTTATTCAACTTAAAGCATGTTTTTTTTCCTTAAACAATTTTATCCAGCCCCAGAAAAAATTGAAGGCATAAACTTTTATAACATAAATAATATTTGAAATATTATAATATTTTATCAAAAAAGTATATCTTTCATTAGTTATTATTATGTGCTGAACTCCATTAAATATCCTCTGGTCCTCAGTGTCAAGGCAGAAGTCATGATGTCAGATGTCCATTACACTTTCGGAAGTTTTCTTAAAATCTCATTGATGTAACCATAACTTTTAATTTCTCACCATGTCGGACACTCAGACACAAAAAATCTTTTTAGTGTCTGGCTTAGATTTTTATTCACTGATTCGGATGATGTAACGCCGAGTCTAATATTTTTTATTCACTGATTCGGATGATGTAACGCCCAGTCTAATATTTTGAAGCCTCTACAGATTCACTAATAGCTTTTTAAAAGTTAAAAGTTACCTTTACTTACCTTTCTAATAAAAAACTTACCATTACTTACCTTTCTAATAAAATTATTTTGGGTTGCAAAATTTTCTGCAAATTTTTTTATTAGTTGAATCGACTATTCTTCTCCAAAGATATTTTTTTTGTTTCTTATGATAAAATTTCTTATGAAGTCTTGCACTTTTCTATAGCCTTTTTTAGGGAAGGGGGCGAGGGGGTGGAGCAGTGTAGTCGGAAAGTTCGGACATTTATTTGGCAGTCGACAGTCGTTTAGAGCTCTCCCCCCCCCCCATTTTTTTAATGTCTATAGCTGCATGTTTTTTAGCCGGCAGCTTTTTAGCTAACGATATTATTACAATATGGTTAACTTTCTAGTTAACGATGTTATTGACATGTCGGTTGCTATGTATTATAGCTTTTGGGGTCGTCCATAAATTACCTCACGCAGTTTTTGACATTTTTGACCCCTCCCCACTCACCCACCCCTTCCTCGTAACGCATCTGTAACACTTTATTGACCCCTCCCCCCAATATTACGCAACAATTTTCGACTAAGTAAGATTTAGGCGTAGTTGATTTTACAATCAACGTGTAAATATATCAACTGAGGGTTTTGGTTTAGTCAGATTCTTTTAATTAAAAAAAAGTCTTCTCTAAAAAAAAAAAATGTTGCGTCACAAAATCGAGAACCCTCCCCCTCGTAACAAATCGTCGCAAAATTGCCTACCACCCCCACCCCCTCTCTCTCTCTCCTAAGCGTGACGTAATTTATGGACGACACCTTTGTAGTTAATAATTACTTTCATGCCCATGCCTCCACTTCAATTTAATATGAAAGTTTAACAGATCTTTTTATTTTTTTAGTGCTAATTTTTGGCTGCATTATTCTTTCAATTATACTGCTTGCATTGTGTATCGGATATATTTTGGCACGCATCTTGATAGAAAAGCGGAAAAAGTAAGTACATTTAATTTTTTTTCTTCTGTTGAGTTTTTATACAAAACCTCTTTGAATTCTACAAAACCATTTATTAAAATGTGAAGTTTTTAATGAATTTTTTGTAAAAGAATGTTCTCAAATTTGTAAATGCGACAAATGAAGAAAACTTCCTTTTATGTTCATCTTTTTTAATATCTAGGTTTCTATCATCTGCAATGGGTTCAGTTTCATCTTACGTTAATAATAACAATAAAGGTTGCGTTACAAGCGTTCTTCCTGAAGTAAAGGCATATAGTGAAGCGCTAGAATTTTATAAAAAACAAAAATTTTAAATGGTATTTTAGACGTATATTGCATTTGGTCGTTTTTTGCTGGGTAGAATTTTGTTTGATAGAACAGTAGAGGCTGTTAAAATACTTTAGAAAAAAAAATTAAAAAGAAAACAGAATTGTTAAAGTCAAAATAACAAAATTGTTGAATAGCAAACAAAAGTTATAAAAGCAAAAAAATTTTACTGAAAAAAAAATTTTTTTCTTCTTCCTGTTGTATTCCCTAGTTTTATATTATAACAATATTATTATTAACTATATAACATATAACATAAAAGATGATGTGCGTTTTTTAATTGGGCCGTAAATGGGCCGTAAATGTAATGTCAATTTTTCCTTATATTTCGACCCTTTTTCTTATAATCAAATTTTCAGTTTTTGATCAACTCTCTTTAAAATTATATCAAATTTTTTTACCCGGCCTCTTAAAAGAAAATTAAAAATACGCATATATATGATTAATTTTTTAAGGTTTAATTATAAATTTATTCTCATTAAATATTATCTATTCTTATCAGTATTTAATGTAGAAAACATGACATAAATTTCAAATTTTGAAAGGTTGGTCATTGAAAAAATTGATGGTCATTTGAAAAGGTACCGGTCATTGCATTGCTTGGTTGAATGCACTGCGTGAGCGTTTGTCATAATAGAAAAACGTCCAGGTTATTCTTATCAAAATATTAAATTTCGAATTTAACTACTTTTTGGAATCTAGGATTTTCATCGGGTCCTCTATAAGCACTAAGCACAATGATAGGCTTAACAATACTAATTTGCGGATATCTGGTAATAAAGTCGAATTCCTTGATATCCAAGATATTCAAATTCATTGATATCCAGACCCCCTGAAGTTCTAAACCAAGAGTATACGCATTTGAATGTGTTTTTCTGATTTTGAACAGCAAAGTATATATATCCAGAATAAGTAAAAGCATCTATTTTTCCCAGACCATTTTTGACGATGCATTTTTTGGGGCTTGGTAATAACACTAAGTTTGTCTTTTTCTAGCTCCAGTCATGTAGATATTTGTTGACGAGCATATAGAAGGAAGTAGACGAGTATAGAGGGCGCTCTTTCAGATTAGAAATCCAATGTTATTAATTTTGATGTCAACTCGTCTTGGGTTATAATGCTCTAAATAATAAAGGAATATAATAGACTAAAATAAAAATTGTGTATAATAAACTTCTTAAGTAAAAATGGGGTTTAATATCTAAATTATATTATCTCTGCTCGACGTCTTTCATCGCCGACCTAAACATGGATATTATTAATCGCCTTCAAAAGAAGAGAATGATCTACTTCAAGATACTGTTAATTAGGTTTTTTTTTCTGATTTTCAGTTTCACTTTAATTTCTGGATGTTTCGCAGATTTCCTTCATTTTAGTTTTTTTAGTTCTTTAGTTTTTTAGTTTTTTTTTTGATGGACCATAATCATACTTTTTGTTAGTCAAAAATGAGGGGAAAAATTGTTTAGTAGTCAGATTTGTTTTATGTGAATATGGTATGTATATGTCATCAATTTTAAAGAAGAAATTTATACAATTTTGACTGTATTGCTAATCTCCCAACAGCGTCTGATTTATTAATTTTTTTAACAACAAATTTCTTAGATTGATTTGGTTCCGCCAGAGATTTGAACAAATGCACTATAGTTAACGGTTGAAATAAACAATTTCCAATATATTCCAATATATATATATATATATATATATATATATATATATATATATATATATATATATATATATATATATATATATATATATATATATATATATTAGGGCTGTACCGGATTTAATTTTTTCAAATCCGGCCGGAGCCGGATTTGCCGGATTTCTACTGACAGATCCTGCCGGAATCGGAGCCGGATTTCAAAACAAAACTACAGGAGCCAAAATCCTGTACATCCCTACTTGGTGTTGAGCATGGTCAACAATGTGGACTATTCAGAATACCAAGTGACTGCTGTTTTCTGTTAAACTTCATTGTTGTTATTTAAAAAGTTTTATAGCAATTTCTATATATAAATTAATAGAAATTCTAAAAAAATTCTATAGGCCATATGTTTTAAAAGTTTATAGTAATTCTATTGAACTTTTTTTCCGGGATTTTGTCAATCCGCCACTGTAGTGGATCATTGTGTCTATTTATTTCTGGTTCTTTCGGATATTTCCTTAGTTGAGTTTTAATGCCTTTTAGTAATTGTTGTTTATGTGCCCTGCCACCAGCGGACGTAGACTGAATAATTTTATCAATAAATTGCCAGAGTAATGATGATGATGATGTAGAAAAATTATTAAGCCCGGCTTATTTTGGTGGATTTTCTTCAGTTTTGTCAATCTTCTGTTCAGCATGCTCAGATTGATTTCAATCTTGTTTTTTCAGCTGTCAGTGTTGCCTGCAATGAGGAGAATTTAGTTTTAAATTGTGAGTCAACCAGCCTCGTCAGTATATAAAGAGGTTTCTCTTTTCAATGTTTTTAAAACGCTCATCCAATTACTTGATTAGGGTTGACATCATAGTCTTTATACCTGCATCATTGTAGAATATCGTGTGTCTTTCTTTCAGAATTTTTTGTTGCGTTGTTATTTGAAATTAGACTAAGCTTATTAAATTGTAAAGAAATATAAATACAAATACCAAAACAAATATGAGGTTCATAAAATATAGAATTACAAAAAAAATTGCTTTTTATAAATAAAATATTAGGTATACATGTAAACACGGGCAAAAAAAATTTAATAAATATTTGACAAAATTCAAAACTCCGGCTAAAATTATGCCGGATTTGCTAAATTTTTGCCGGAGCCGGATTTGGGCCGGATTTGTAAAAATGGTTGGATTTCGGCCGCAGCAGGAGCCGGAGCCGAAATCCGGTACAGCCCTAATATATATATATATATATATATATATATATATATATATATATATATATATATATATATATATATATATATATATATATATATATATATATATATATATATATATATATATATATATATATATATATATATATATATATATATATATATATATAAATACCACATAATATATATACCACGTTGTGTTTAGCTCGCAGCGTTTCTGAAGTGCATTGCCGCGGTGTAAATTTTACCACAGACACCTTTTTTATTTTCACCTTTTTCATTTTTTTTAAAATACAAAATGAGGAATATTATATACTTTACTACTATAAGATATTGTATACTATATCACACAAAAGGAAGAGAATTTTAAACAAGTTTTTAAAGTCTAAAATTAAAAAAAAAAAATCAAAACACAGAAATAAACTTGTTGCTCATATGTCATGATAGGTATACTTACGTTATTAATGTCCTTAGGTAATAAGTCCAAATATTCTGTGGTCTGAAAAAAAGTTATAGTTTGAATCTTTATATTTTAACAAAAGAAAAAACTTAATAAACCCATCCTGCTCCTGTTAATTAAAATTAAAAAAAAAAATCAAAACACAGAAATAAACTTGTTGCTCATATGTCATGATAGGTATACTTACGTTATTAATGTCCTTAGGTAATAAGTCCAAATATTCTGCGGTCTGAAAAAAAGTTAGAGTTTGAATCTTTATATTTTAACAAAAGAAAAAACTTAATAAACCCATCCTGCTACTTCATAAGCTTTTTTTTTCTTTTCTGTGGAGGCAAAAAAAAAGAAAAGCTCGAAGCTAGAAAAAAATTAAAAATTTTATTTTATTAATTAATAGTCTTTTTGCTATATTTATTTGCTATAAATATATACGATGGGATTAAAAAAATTGAAAATGTGTTGTGTTATGGTGCGAATTGGAATTAAACAACTGATTTATCGAAGCTATGCATGTAATTGAAAAATAAACGATTTTATAAAACTTTAATAAGTACGACGTATGAGGTTTTTCGATCGTTGACTAAAACATGTTTAAGTAAATAAGGAATAAGTGTAGAAATGATCAATATGGAATAGATAAGTATAAAAATGGTTGGTTTCGTGAAGACCCATATTTTACGGGTATAGATAGCTAGGATATATAGAGATATATAAGGAAAAAATAGTGTGGAGTAGACTAACAAAGACCCGTATCCGGTCAGATAGTTTCATATTAATCTTAAATTATCAATTTTTCCTCAGCTAATGCCATCTTGTGGTACGTCCGAGTTTTTCACATTTACTAAATTGCAAGCAAGGGCAATTATACGGGGAGGGGTATGTATGGAGTGTAACACGCCTACACACCTCACCGCCTCCCACCCCTACACAGAAATCACCCCCGATCAGGAATCACAACCCCCCCCTTCCCTTTCTTAATTCTTATAATTGCCTCTGATTTTAAAAGCTTAATTTTTAGTGGCATTTATTGAATGTGTTCTTGCTATCAGTCTGCAGTCAGAGCCGTCCAGAACGGGGGGTGTTCCACTCCCTTCCTTCTCCCAAAGCTGTCGTATAAGTATTTGAGTTAGCACATTGAGCAAGTTTTAAAATATAGCTGGCAAATTCCAAATATTGAGGACCTTTTTTTTTTTTTTGGTGTCTCTAATAGGCAAAATATACACAACCTCCCCCCCCCCCTCCTCCCTCATGTAAGACCTTATCGGGGCAGCCCTATCTGCAGTAAATAATAAGTGTATTCATTTGCAATAACACCTGTCTTGCTTTGCGAATTGTTACTAATTTAAAAACCTTAAGGCGGTTGTTTCCTTTTTTCGTTTTTGAAATTCCAGTACATAACTTTTAACTTTACTACTGACACCGCTTTTAAAATTGTTATCTAGGAAAGGTTTAAGTATATTTAAATACTAAACAAGCTAAATCAGAACTGTCATTAGTCTTGCGAAAATATTCTATTTAAGTAAATGCGGCATGTGATAAATTTTTTTGCAACGCATCTCTTGTAACTCTTACACTCTTACTCTCTTGCGCTTTTGGATATTTAGATATTTGTATTTTATGTAAATTCACTTGAGTTTTTTTGCTGAAATATATGATAATTAATGATCCGATCGCAGTTTTTATTCTAGAGATAATATCTGCCCCGCAGTGTTAGTCACTTTAATTAACGCTTTAAAATTGAGATTATATCTATAATTAAAAGTCTTTTTAATTAGCTCTATAAAAATGATTTTATACTTTAATTTTACCATATGCATCAACAGTTTCTAAAAAGATATTTAGCCATAAAGTTTATGACTAAATATTTCTCTAAAAGCATACAATTATAAAATTTTTTCTAAGATATTATTTTGTTTTCAAACATATTTAGATCACCACATGTAAGTATTTTATATGAGCCATCACATTTATTTATTTGAACTTTTTCCTGATTGTTCAGAGTAACTAACAATAGAAGATTCCATGGCTGATGTCAAATTTACAACCTCCTCGTTTTGAGGGAATTGGAAACTTTTCATGGTCGTAACTCTCAAGCATTAAAAGATAATTAAGTAAAATATGAAACTAATTGCCCTCACAGAGAGAGTATGGGGATATTCATTTGGGGTATTTTGTTCCCAGACTCTAATCGCAATTACTTTCAAAGTATCCTTATTTAATATAGGCATGAACAGACTTAAATTTGAAGTTTCCACAATGCCTGGAAGTTTCATATCTGAAACATTAATAAATCCTGGATTTATTAATGTTTGAATTGAATATTAAACTTGTATCGACACTTAGATTCACGAAATTTCTAGGTATTTCCAGCTAGTTAAATTTTTACCCATGAAATTAAAAAAGTTATATTTTATGAGTTTTAATGCGGACGTCTACAGTTTAGTTTTTGCAATCACTTTGTTTCTAAATGAAAGAACGTATTATCACACAATTTAGAAATGTTTTTAGTTTAAAACAAAACAAAAACAAGTAAATGTACGTACTTCATTTTTTTCTCTCCTTTTTTTTAAATAACTAACAAATTACATAATTTTTTTTTAATTGTTTATTCAGATATCAATAATATTTATAACAATTTTAGCCCATGAAGAATAAAATGCTTATAATATATCGATGAAGAGGTGCAGCACCAGGCATCTCCATGCTGACAAATATCGGACACACGATGTATCTATACTTATAGTGTTAATGCGTCGAATCGTTAACAACGTTTGATGGTAAAGCATTTCATTCGTTGACTACGCGGTTTGTGAAGAACTTTTCTCTTTCGATACAGTTCTTGACTATCGGCTTAGCAAGTTTTAAGCTATTGCCACGAAGGTTATATTGGGAAAGCGTTTGCGCGTAGACTTGAGGCACAACAAATTCGATTTTTTCAACATCATGCGCAATCTTATATTGCTGAATTAAATCATTTCTAACTCGCCTATCTTCTAGGTTGGTTAGTCCTAGAATTGTAAGTCTTTCTTCATATGATTTATGTTTATCAGCTTCGTTGCACACTTTTGAATGCTACCAAGAACCTTGATGTCTCCCTTCAGATGTGGCGACCACGATTGGATGGCAAATTCAAGATGTTGTCTAATATACAATTTGTAAAGGACTTTCCAAAGTGTGAGACCTTGGCTTCTGAAGGATTTCTTAAGCCGACCAAATATCTGGCTTGCTCTTGCAGCCGCTGCTTCAACTTGATGCTTGACTTTTAAGTCTTCTGAAATAAGAACATCTAGATCTTGTTCGACTGAATTCATATCTAGTTCTTGTCTTATTCCGATCTGATCAGTCATTGTGTAGACGTAGACTGATTTTTTGGAGCGACCTACGTGCATGCATTTGCATTTTTCCAAGTTGAATAGTAATAGCCACTTTTTGGACCATACTACAGCGTTATTAATATCTAGCGGGAGACGTGCTTTGTCCTCCTCTGTTTTGATTACACACAGTATTTTGCTGTCGTCGACATATATCTTGGTGTGTTGAGCTATGTTATCCGGTAGGTCCTTAATATAAAGGATGAAGAGAAACAGTCCTAGCACCGATCCCTGAGGCACTCCACTAGTTACCTCTTTCCACTCAGATTCAGTTTTGTAAACAACAACCCTTTGCTTTCGGTTAGCCAGCCAGTTTGATATCCACCTGAACAATGAGCCGCATAAACCATAAGCTTTTAGTTTGTGCAGAAGTCTTTTGTGCAGCACTTTGTCGAAGGCTTTCGCCTTCGACAAAGTGCCTTACAAAAAATCAGTGTATATCACGTCTATGGCATAGCCATGATGTACTGCATCCGTCAGAATGTTGCGGGCTTCTAGTAGATTAGACACACAGCCCCGCCTAGGTAAAAAATATAATTGAGCTTTTGTGAATAGACCATTGTTATAGCAGTGCTTCATGATTCACTCATGAATGAAGCTCTCCAATATCTTGCATGGTACTGATGTTAGTGATATTGGTCTGTAGTTTGAGCGCTTTCTTCTGCCACCGGTCTTGAAGATTGGTGTTATATTTATAGTTTCCATATATTGGGTACTTTACCTTCAGCAGAGCAATAGCGAATTACACGAGGGTGCATTCCGTCATAACCTTTAGATTTTATTTCGATTAGTTTTTCAAGCTTTTGCTGTACAGCTGCATGCGTGGTAATATATTAAGATTAGGGGGGATTTATTTTATTTTATAGCATTTCAAAGTTATTGTTAAAAAGTAGTAATGTGGCTATTTTGAGTTTAGAATTTTAAATTCTTTTCTCCACCTACAAACATCTATAAAATCAAAATGGTGTAGTGAAGTTCGAAAAATGTTTTGATTTAAATTTGTTCTACACAATATAAATTTACAATCTAAAGTTAAAAAATTAAAAAAGCGAAAAATGAACTTTTTCATACTTTAATGACAATGAGTTACGTGCATTAACTAAATGTTTGCATGCCATCTAGTCGATCTCGCAACAAGACGTGAAACTTCTTTGTCGTTTTAACAAAAGAAACTTAACATCGGTATTCTTTTTTGACGTAATTGTAATTCACCTGTTTCATTTGCGTTATTGCATTTGTTCAGAAAAACCGCAAAATTTTGAAAATTATTTTTTTATTTGCCACAAGCGACGTAACTAATCATTATTACCGCAGTTTACTTAAAAAAATTATTCTTAACTTGTATGTAAATTTTAACGTATGGGAATTTTAATTTAACTAAATAAATTTAAATGTAAATTGAGTTCGTAAAAATCAAAAACTTAGAAAGAATGAAGTATTTAAAAGCGCTTTGCAGAAAAATTCCTCAATCCATTATTGACTTTGGTCTGCGTCAAAGAAAACCGAGTGTTCCTTTTAATTATGAACTTGCAGTTAAGCAGCATGAACAGTATATAAATGCATTACGAAACGCTGGAATAAAAGATGTAACTGTTCTTGAAAGTGATGAAGTTTTGCCAGATTGTGTGTTTGTTGAAGATTTAGCGATTGTGATTGGTCAAACAGCTTTGATTACGCATCCAGGAGCGCATTCAACGAAGCTGGAAACAAATGAAGTTTTAAAACATTTTGTAAGTGATGATTTAATTGAAACAGTTCATATAATGAAAGCGTCAGCGTGTTGCGATGGTGGAGATGTTTTGTTTACAGGTAAAGAGATATTTGTTGGTATCTCAGAAAGAACAAATTTGGAAGGGATGGATACAATTAAAAAAACTTTTTCAAACTTTCCTGTTCATGCTCTAAATATTGGATCAGAAAAGGTTCATTTGAAAAGTTTTTCAAGTATGGTGGGCGAAAACGGTATTGTTTTTGGAAAAAGTGAAATTTCTCAACGTGTCAAAAAAGAACTTATTAGTAAAGCTACCGAAAAATATGATATCTATGATGTTCCTGAAGATTATGCAGCGAATGCAATATATGCTAATGAAGTATTAATACACCGTTCAGCTGATGAGTTTCCAGAAAGCGTTGAACTCTTCAATAAATTGCCTATTAAAAATAAGATATCACTAAACTGTTCTGAACTAATGAAAATTGATGGCGCTCTCACATGCTGTTCAATTTTATACTAAGCAGAACAAAGTTTTGCTTGTTTTAAATAGTTTTCATATTTTCAAAACATATTTTATATTTTCAAAAGTCTTATTTTCCTATCTTAATTTTAAATCTTTTAAAAGTTCGTTTATATTTTATATGTATATTGTACATAAGTATTGTATATTGTTGTATTGTATAACATGATTAGTATAATATGCATCTCTAGTTTTTTTTACTACATAATTTTTTAATTCTTAACTATGTGCTTATCGTTCGTTTCAAATTTGTGATCCTGCAAAGTGAGTCAAAATAGAATAAAATTTAAAAAAAGATTTTGTATAATTTACCGTGTTACTAATTTTTAGATTTTCGGTACACTAAAAAGAAGTGCACTAAAAAATTTGATTATCTTTTTAGCAATTTAAAAATGCATTTTTGAATAGAGTATTTATAATTTGTCTTAAACCGTAATAGTAATTGAGTTATTTTGATATTGTTGCATTATATAAAGGGACTGTTGGTGGTTTTAACGCAGCATACGTCATAACATACATTACGTAACAAACGAGAGTGCGTAGAAAAGATGAACGTGCTCTATTGCAACATTCCACCAGAAAAAGTTAAAAGCACGTCAACAATTAAGTTTAATTCAGCATATATATTACCTAATCTCATAACTTTTTTTCGACAACCAATTTTTTTGCTGGTTTGAAATGAGTGGCGTAGAGGTCATATTTACAGCATCGGACAAAACATGGTGGACAAAATCAAATTCAGAACAAAAGTTGATCAAAAACTAAAAAAAAAAATAGTAAAACAATTGTACATATTAATTTTTAAAAAAAAATTAACACATTTTTCTCAACAAACTACATTTTTCTTTGGACAAAGCAAAACTATGCTTTTTTTTATAAGATTTGATTGTCTTTATTGAATTGTTTTTTCACTTTTATCATAACAGTACTCTAAAATAATAAAATAAATTTTGGAACGTCTGACCAATTATTTTTTCAATTAAACTAAAAATAGATTTAACTCGCGTAAAAAATTGCAATTTAAAATGGCTTACGACAAATTAGGAAGTATTTTACGTGAAAATATTATTAATGATTTTAAAAGCGAACAACGTCAAGCTAAAATTTGTAGAATATATAATATAGCTAAATCGACTGTAAGCAAAAATGTCATATCATTTGGATTTCGTGACTGCTATAAAACAAACCATCGGGGTGGTACGTACAAGAAAAACATCACAAAGCTTTTAAAAGATCCATTTTTGTCATCCACAAAAATAACCGGAAAACCTGAACTAAAAATCTTCAATCACACTGCGCCACAAAGAGCTAACAAATCAAAATTGTATTCTCGAATGACTGCCAAGAAACCATTAACTTCTTTTAAAAATAGAAAGCTAAGACTTGCGTTTGCCAAAGCACACCATAATTAGACTGTAGACCAGTGGAAAAAAATAATTTTTAGTGATGAATCAAAATATAACCTTTTTAGAAGCGACGACAAGAAGCGAGTCTTGAGACCAAAGAACTCCAGGTACAATCCTAAATATACCAAGAAGAGTTAAGCATGGAGCGTCTGCTACGGTTTGGAGATGTTTCTCAGCACTATGAACTAATCCTATTCAGAAAATTAATAGAGTTATGGACCGCATTGTGTACAAAAATATAATGGAAGATGTTATGTTACCATATCCTGAATGGGAGATGCCCCTAAAATTGGTTTTTCAACAATGGGCAATGACCACAAACATTCATCAAAAATTGTAAAACAATGGTTCAAGGAGAAGAATATCACCGTAATGGAGTGGCCTGCACATAGCCGTGACTTGAATCCTATAGAAAATATCTGGGAAATAATTAATAATAAGATTGAGCGTGTAAATGTGAAGACCAGTAAGGAATTATTTGAACAAATCGAGAAGGCCTGGTGAGAAATTGGTGTGAGAATTGTTGACTCATTAATTGGGTTTATGCCTCAAAGAATGAAAGCAGTAATGAAAGTAAAGGAGGTCCTACTAAATATTAAATTAATTTTTGAATTTTTTTGAAAAATAATAAGTTAATTTTCAAAAGTTTTAAATTTTGTTAACAACATAATAAACTACTTAAAAATTATTATGATCAGTTGTTTTAACACGAGGCTAGTAAAAATTTGCACAAAAAAGAATTGATTATGATTTTCATTTAAATTATATTATTGTTTCATCAAATAAGTAAGGAAAGCAATAATAGATCAACTTATAACTGAAAGTGTCCCATGATCAACAGCGAATTTTAGTCTTAAGCGAGCAAAGAAGGTTTCAAAGTATTCTGAAATGAAATCTTGTAACTTAAGTGGAATTCTCTTTTTCGGCGGTAAAGATTTTTTGCTTTGAAATCATTGGAATAGACTCTCTGTTTTAGATGAGCCCAAAATGTCTAAATGGGCTTTAATTGCGGTACATTTGGTGCATTATCATCCTTAGAAAGATAGGTTTTATTAAACTTCTTATAAGTTTCAATTGTTAGGTTTGCATAATGACACCTTGCACTATCAAGCCAAAATATACATTTTATATTTTTGTGATGCGAATTGATGAAGGGAACAATTTTCTTTTCAATGCATTCTTTGGAATATATTTTTGCATCAATGACATTATTCTTAATTACAAAGAAAGGTTTTGATTTACCAAATCTACTGATTGCAGTCCATACTAAAACTTTTGCTTGAAACTTTGATTTAAACTTCTATTTAATATTACTTTCAGTTTAGTTTTTATTTTGACTACTAAACGACTATTACGACTAAACGACTATTACTATTACGACTAAAGGGTATGTCACCCATGATAGTTTCAAACTCATTTGACGGTCGGAAGTTTTTGAAAGTTTTAACAGTCGTTGTTTTTCTTTAATTATTTGAATTTCAGAGCTTCCTGGTGCTTTCTTTCTTTGGAAATATTCAAGTCCATGCTTGTTAAAGATTTTATAAACATAACTTCTATAAATTCCATATTTTAATGCAAGTTTTCTCGTGGAGATTCCAACTTTATTTTCAGCCTTGTTAATGAGTGAAGTAATTTTTCTTATGTCCATTTTATATGATTTTCTGTCGCTTCCCGACTTTCTTTTAAGGTCAATAATGTCGTCAACTCTTTTAATAATATTTTAAATTGTTCGCATTGCAACTTTCATTTGCATAAAATGATGCACTGTAAATGCTTTCCTTTTGTCTATGTTATCTACATAGAAGTTTCCAATAAGCTTTTGTTTGTCGTTTGCTTTAATTCCATCCATTTTATTTATATATCTTTAATTGCCAAAATCAGTATCAGATTATGAAATAAGAATGTCTAGTGAATATATTTAATTTGAACTGCAAAAACATTCGAATTTGTTCGTGAGTTTTGAACGTTCAAATTTTGTGCAAATTTTTAGTAGCCAAGTGTTAGGGGAAAGGCACCTATGATGGCATAGCACCTATGATGGCATATCGGTCATAATTTCATAAATATTGGTTATGGCAAAAAAGTCATTAAACCAACATGTTTATACTGAATTTACATTTGTTTTTGTAAAAGTACGTCTCTTATGCATAGATATTGCTTTTATAATCAACAAAAATTGATTTTGGGATGCGCTGTTGTATTTTTAATCCCTTAAATAATTTAAGATTGTGATTTTATTATTAACTGCGCAAAAATTTTCATGCTTTTTATTTCCAAGTTTTGTGCATTTAATGGAATACTTATTTTAATTTTATCTTTTGAACAAGGCAGACATAGCTTGTTTAAATGAAAATGATGACTTCTTCCTATGATGGCATACTGATGAGTTAGATGTGTTGCAATATTGACGAGTTGAGTTATTGAAGTAAAAAGGAATTTTTACTTCAGTAAAAAATTTTTGGTTTAAAAAACACATAAAACGCAATATCTCTAATGTGCATCCGCGAAACCTTACACTGCTGCTGTGTAGCACGAAAGGGTCAATTAGGATGCTTAAGCGTAATTTCTGGCATTTCTGAGACAAGGCTCTAAGGTCAAATCAAATCATCGATTTACCCTTGATACTAACCAGCCCCATCCTTCCCTATGCCATCATAGAAGCAGTAGTTGCCTATGATGGCATACTTGTGCTTTTTTTTTAAAATAAAAATAATCAATAAAAAAATAAAGCTGATGAAAACTTCTGGAATTATTATTGTTCTACATGTAACAAAGAATCCATATCAAAATTTTCGTTCTTGCTCTTCAGGATACTGAAGAAAGCTTTAAAGTTAAGTATGCCATCATAGGCGCCTTTACCCTACTAATTTTTTTCAGTTTATGATCAACTTTTGTTTTAAATTTAGATTTGTCCACCATGTTTTGTCCGATACTGTATATGAAAAAAAAAAAAATTATTTTTCATTTTTTCTTGATATAAGTATTCGCGCCGGCTGTTCGAAGCTACACTTTTTATAACTTTTGGCTAAATTTTGAGCAAAGGATCCAAAATCGAGAAAAAACGGAGTCGAGAGAAATCGAAAAAAAACTCCGTCGGAGTCGAGAAAAAATCGGAGTTTCGATAATATTTTGTTATAAAAATTAAACTATCTATTTGATAAAAAAATTAAACTCTCTATTTGATAATTAAACATTGTTCTTGTATTTTTATTTTTTAATTTTAAATATTTCGATTTATAATTCATAATAAAATTTTAAAAAATTTATATTTTTTTATTTCTTAGTACATAAATATTTTTTTTATCACAATTTTTTAACGAACAAGTTATATCTAATAATTGGCTTTCTAACCGGCATCGGTTAGGAAGAAGGCGTGAACTTTCAGTTAAATGCCCTTCTGCGTTGCTATGCAATAAAGACTTGTTGGGGCACCTATAGTAAAAATTAAAAAAAAAATTTGAAAAAAAAAGTATTTATACTGAAGATCTTTTTAAATAATATTTTAAAAAGATCAAAACATCTATCATTTCATCAGAAAGCGAACTACGAAACTTTGTGACAAATCTGGAAGACGAGGAGAAAACTCTTTCTGCTTCCGAGGAAGTTGCTTGAATTCTGTGGATGGCTAGTTCAAAT